TCTTTCGGCTCTAAACGTGTATGATTGGCCCGTGAGGAACGAGTGACTCAGACCCGATCGAGGACTTGAGAGGTGAACGGATCAATTCTTTTTCCGGCTCTAAACGCATATGATTGGCTTCTGCCAATGTGATGAAGACTTGAAATTAACGATACTACCTGCACAAATGTGCGCACGTGCGGATGAACGAATCACTTCCTGAAAGGACTCGTAGTTCCCGGGTCATATTGAAGATTCGTTCAAAATGAACGAATCGTTCATGAATGACCCATTACTAGTTTGTGGTCCAGGGTCACGTATTTAATGAAACATCAGCAATAAACTGTAATGAAAGCATTTACTGCATATTGCGTTAGTGGTCATTGTTCCCTTGATGAACGTTTTATGTGATATTTCAGTTTATTTCGCAACTTTACACACCAAAGTGCACTTCTGTGAGTTCACAAACATCGCGAGCAAAATAATTCATGTCTAAATGGAGTTGCACCAGTTACTGGGTGACACAAATCATCATGTGACACTCAAAATATAACTTCACTGTCCGCCTGCTGTGGGCCGTATTAAAGGGACAGTTCACCAAATATGAACATTCTGTCATCATTTAATCATCATGCTCCAAACCTGCTTGAGTTTCTGTCTTCTGTTGAACTCAGTTGAAGTTAAACTAGAAAAATGCTGCCATTGACTTCCATAGTGTTTTTTTCTTCCTATGCAAAGTGAAAACTGTGGCCTGAAAACCATGCATGCCAAACTCCGAAAATGCTTTGAAATTAAATATTTAATCCAATGATTAATAATCATTACAATTTAACCCAATATACTAAATGATAATGATTAAAAAAAACACAAGATAATGAACCACAATTTAATCTCAAATGTTATATCCCAAAACTATAGTGCATCACTAGCTCCTACTATGGATGTCAATGGCTGCTTTTCCCCAACATTCTTCTAAATATCTGTGCACTATTCTACCTCATTTTATAGTATAAATAGTGTAAGATGAACGCATTGTAAATACCCAGATGATGCACTTATTTAGAGAGGCTACGTGTGAAGAGGGACTAAGTGTGAAGGAGAGGGTTTACTGGTGAAGGGGAGGAGCTACTTGTGAATAGGAGGATTTGTGTGTAAAGGGGAGGAGCTACATGTAAAGGGGAGGAGCTACTTGTGAATAGGATGAGTTGTGTGTAAAGGGGAGGAGCTACATGTAAAGGGGAGTTGTTACTGGTAAAGAGGAGGAGCTACTTGCTAAGAGCAAGTAGCTAACATGGATTTTATTAAGACACTATTAGTGTTTTTATGTGCTTTATGAAGGCTGAAAAACAGTGTCGATACGTTTAGGGTCCACTAGATCCTTTCAGAGGTGCATCCAGCTCTGTGAGCTCATAAACTCCTCCAGAAACTGAACCTGGATGATGGAGGCTTTCAGCGGTGCTTCTGAATGAGCCGCGCCCAGTTTGACGAATTGTTGTCGGTGTCGGCTGGAGGATTTCCTCCGGGACAACAACAACAGGCGGTACGTCACAATCACGCCCCCACAAGAGCAAGCTCCTGATTGGTTAACGCGGCGCGAATGTACGCTGAAGTTCATATTTTTTAACTTGAGCTATTCAAACGCACTAAACACTCAATTCGCTCCGTGCCATTCGCTCAAATTGCGTCATTCGCGCTGCGCCATTCGCACATATCGCACCGCAGGATGTCTATTCGCGCGTTTGCATTGACTTAACACGTAAGTCACTCATGCTTGACGCTCCTTCCACGTCTGGTGTGAACACAGCATTATGTGTAAAGGGGAGGAGCTATGGTGAAGGGGAGGGGCTACTTGCGAATAGTTACTTGTGAAGGGGAGGAGTTATCAGGCACTGAGAATGAATTACTTAATATTAGATTGTGCAAGCAAAATTCTCCAACAAAAATGATGGCAGTTTGGTCTTTTATTTTACTTTTTTGGCAACCTTTACGCCTGTTTCATACCGCAAGCAGAGCGTGAGCAGCGTGCAGGCGTTTGCCTTTCACACGACTGCGTCTGCAGCGCAGCTCATCGGCAGCTGCTCCACAGATCAATCTATCTCTGTCTATTCTATCTTTACCTGTATATCTATAAATTCACTTCTGCTTCACTTCTCATCAGCACCATGGCCCGCGGCGACTTCCTCCTATGCTGTTTCCTTAACCTGCAAGTCTTTATTTTACAAATGATGTAGATCCTACTGTCTGCTTCTCACGCTCTGGGAAGTGTCATTCCTGTACTTTCAGGTGCACTCGGTCAGAAGACAATCGCCTGTGAGATCATGTCATTGTGTTTTTGATTGTCAGCATAATGTAGGCCTTTAGCTTTAATGATATTTATGCAATATAGTTATGATGATGTTTATACATGATCAAACGAGTGTGGAACTTAAGCAAAACTGACAATACATTTGTTTTAAATTTGGTTTTGTAGTTCAGGCCCAAATAAATATTTGTTGCTGTTTTTAATCATTTAAGTTTATTTGATTTTATATATAAAAATTAGGGTGACGCGGTGGCGCAGTGGGTAGCACTCTCGCCTCACAGCAAAAAGGTCGAAGAGTCTCGGCTGGGTCAGTTGGCATTTCTGATTGGAGTTTGCATGTTCTCCCCATGTTGGCGTGGGTTTCCTACGAGTGCTCCAGTTGACGGTTCATTCCGCTGTGGCGACCTCTGATCAATAAAGGGACTAAGCTGAAGAGAAAATTAATGAATATTTAAATCAGTGGATATTATCGATGCATTTAATGGATAAAATTGCTGCTTTTTACTGTCATTCAATGTGTTTTTGGTCATTTTCAATGCACTGTCACTTTAATTAAGCGTGAACGCCGTGGCCAAAATAGACCCAGTGCCGAAACCAGGGCTTAATTTGTGCCGGAACAAGCCAGATCATTCATTCATTCATTCATTTTCTTGTCGGCTTAGTCCCTTTGTTAATCTGGGGTCGCCACAGTGGAATGAACCACCAACTTATCCAGCCAGTTTTTACACAGTGGATGCCCTTCCAGCCGCAACCCATCTCTGTGAAACATCCACACACATTCACACACACTCATACACTACGGACAATTTAGCCTACCCAATTCACCTGTACCGCATGTGTTTGGACTGTGGGGGAAACCAGAGCACCCGGAGAAAACCCACGTGAACGCAGGGAGAACATGCAAACTCCACACAGAAACGCCAACTGAGCCGAGGCTCGAACCAGCGACTTTCTTGCTGTGAGGCGACAGCACTACCTACTGCGCCACTGCATCGCTCACAAGCCAGATCCAGAACTTCTGAAATCTGATCCGGCACCTCATTTTATCGATTCCCCTCCTCACACGCAATCCTCCACTTTCTTCCTTGACTCCCTCTTCACGTTCGTCCATGACACTCCCTGCCCCGCTCTGCTGCACACTTCAATTTATTTGCCGCAGCTCCCCAACCCTCTTCACTTTCATCCACGATACCTCTCCCGTCTCTGATCACATGCTGGATCCGTTACCCCGATCTGTTGCTGTACATCGAAATTTACAAATTAAGCACTGGCCGAAACTATCACAGCACTGCTGCTTCAGCCACGCTCACGCCTTGTGCTGACGCACTGCTTCTGCGTGTGGGATGTAAGCTCTAATCGAGGGCTGTCAAACTCAATTCCTGGAGGGCTGCAACCCTGCACAGTTTAGTTCCAACCCTGCTCCAACACACTTACCTGTAGGTTTCAAACAAGCCTGGATCAAACAAGATCAGGTGTGTTTAATTAGGGTTGGAACTAAACTGTGCAGGGCTGCGGCCCTCCAGGAATAGAGTTTGGCATCTCTGCTCTAATCTGTTAACATGGCCGGCGAAAAAAACACACAATCTGCTCACGCTCGCGGTGTGAAACAGGCTTTAGACATTAACTGGGAAATGGGTCAAATTTCCATTTAGTAAAAACTGTTATTGTTCCATTTGGGACGACACCAAACTCACATGCTGCATGGTTGAGTGTATAAGTGCATAGTGCAGGGGTGCTCAATCCTGTTCCTGGAGATCTACCTTCCTGCAAAGTTCAGATCCAACCCTGATCAAACACACCTGAGGCAATTAATTAGGACCTGAACAGCACTTGATAATTACAGGCAGGTGTGTTTGATATGGGTTGCAACTGAAATCTGCAGGAAGGTAGATCTCCAGGAACAGGGTTGGTCACCCCTGGCATAGGCTGTTTCTCAATTCCAAGAACGCAGAGAATGGACTTGCGTTCTTGTGGAGACCGGTCTTGCCAGGTGTCCTCGGAAGAACGAACTCGGGAGACCGCGAGGGCAGAGAACGCGTCCTTTGAGAAATGGGATGCTGCGTTCTTCCTGATGGTCATGTGACCTTCACACGTTTTAAATGGAAATTATTTAAATATTACAGCACTCATACAACGATTTATTGTTTCCCCTTCTCTTCAAAATATATACTTTGCATAAAAACATTATCAATATACTCTGCACAATATAAATAAAACTGATTTTAATACGAATTTCAGCAAACAAATACCCTTAATGTGTTTATTCCTTTTTTAAGATGTTCATGTTAATGTTTACTTTCACCGTTTCATTTAGGGAAACTCCTGAGGTAAATAAATTATATCTCTGAACTTTAATAATAAATCTAAATTAAATGCAGCGCTTCCCACCTCCAGTCGCAATGACTTCTGGGACTTCCAGAGCGAGTTCGGTGCTCAAGTCTGCATCAGTGCGTCAATATCAAGATCCGGGAAGTTTCACGCGTCCTCCGTACTTGCGGTCTTGAGTATTGGAACGGAACTTAGGCAGCTGATGATGACGTTACACGAGAACACGAGGACGCAAGACCGCTGAAGAACGCATATTGAGAAACAGCCATTAGTCAGGGGTCACCAACCCTGTTCCTGGAGATCTGGTTGCAACCCTGACCAAACACACCTGCCTGTAATTATCAAGTGCTGCTTCAGGTCCCCATTAATTGGTTCAATGGTGTAATGTGCATGGTGTATAACCTGGCATGCAACTTTTATTTTGTGTTCAACAGAAGAAAGAAATAAAATTTTACAACCACTTGACTTCAACTAAATGAAGATATGTATTTTTTGGGTGCGCTGTCCCTTTAACAACCCTTAGCATTGAATGCAGAGCACATTTCTCAAATGAGTGCGGCAGTAGATGATTCCTTAGTATGAAAGTGAGAAATTTCCCAAAACCCGTACTCAAAACACTCTTAGATCTCTGTAGCCGCGATGTCATCAAACGTGACTTCGTTCCCGCTACTGTCGTCGTCCTGTTCTCTGGACTCCAGCTCCAGACTGAGCTCCCGCAGGGATCGCTCTAGATCACGGTTCCTCTTGTACATCTGCACGTAGTTCTGCTGCAACTGTTTCTGGTAGCGAATCACTTTATCCTTCTCCTCCTCCCAGCTCTTCCTCTCGCTCTCGAACGCAGCCGCCTGATCAGAAAATCTCTGCCGTTCGTACGCCAATTCAGCTTTTAGTCTGTCCGCCTGCTGCCTGGAGGTCTTCAGCTCTTCAGTTTCTTCAGCCAAACGTTGCTCTTTTCCAGACGCAGCAGCATTTAGAGCATCCCGCATCTGACTCGAATCCTCCTCCAGGTGGCTTATTTTCTCTCGTAGAAGCTCGTTCTCGCTCTTGCGCCGCTGCAGTTCGTTCTGGCAGACCTCCAGCTCCAGGATTCGGGTTCGAGAGGTCGTATTCGCCTCCTGAAGCTGATTCTGGCTGGTTTGGAGCTCCGAGCGCACCTCCCGCAGCTGCCCGCGCACCGTCACCAGCTCACCCACACGCTGGGCCAGATCCGCCTGCAGGTCCTTCAGCTGCTGCTTCAGGAGGGAGATCTCACCTGACTTCTGGCACACCTGCAGGACACCATCACAACAACACAAGCAGATAAGAAAACCAGAGAAGAAGACAACATGTGTGTGAAGTTCCTGCTCAAAACACCACACAGATAATGTTTCAAGAGTTCACACTTAGCTGATGATTGAGCTCATAAGATCCTCGAGCCCGGGGCTCCCTCCCATTTGCAAGGCAAGAGGGGAATTTGAGCTCAGGTAGATCTGGAAAACTCCCCTGCTGTAGTAGCTAATGAACAGATAGTGATTGCTCTTAAAGGGTCTTGACACCCCCGGTTTCAGCAGGATGTTTTCACACCTCTAGTTTAAAAAAAGTCAGGAAAGTGGGTGTGTCCAGCTCTGTTTGGGTGGGAGTGTCAGGGGAGGGAAAATGGGCAGGGTTTGTATAAAAATGGGAGTTGCCATTTGGGCACGTGCTGAGGACAGAGGAAATACAAACACACACACACACACACGCAGGGGAGAAAGTCAGTGTGTTTAATGATGGTGAAATGTTTGATACCGCTAGTCGTATGGGAGAAAATAGCCTCTGCATTTCTCTGTAAAATACGACGAAAATTCAACACGACGGTCGGCAAAAGTTTGCTTACAGTGTTCACGTGTCTACACACAGAGAGCAGCATTTACAGCGGATCTTTCAATATTGTAGTGATATTAACAGACTGTAAACTAAGTAACTTCATTTTGACTAAGGTCTGTCTTTAAACACTGAAAGAGTACAGCTGACCATACCAACTATAACTTTGCCATCTGAATGAACAAAGAAAGGGCGCTGATCACACACACTTACCGACAATCAGCTTATCCTGGAGCTGCGTCTTTTTTAACGGAGACGAGCAGCAAATCTGGATCTCACCATAGATGAGAAATGCTCGAGTAAAAAATGTTCCAAAAAAACGCATTTCTGCCGTGTGTCACGTCTACGGATCCACGCGTGAGTCTAGCTGCGCTCTCATACAGTAGAGAGAAAAAGAAAACAAAACCTTTACATTATAAAGCAACACTGGCGACCCGTATCTCCAAACAATTCTTATTCTTTTCCCACAACTTTTGGCAACAGGACGTGTGTCGTCTCTCTGCCGCCTGAACACAGTTTCAGGTACAGTCTAAGAAAGCTAGCATGCATATTAATGAAGTTGCAGCGCATACATAATGGAGCGCGCTGATTGGTTTGAACCAAGCCATGCTCAGAGCACACTGCAGCACACTCAGAGACGTAATACAGGACACTCTGGCACAGACGTCCAGTCTGCACGCTGGAATACACGCTAAGATCTCATGGCCGTGACGGAGCTTCAAAAATCTGTTTCTGACCGGAAGTACGAATTTGCTCGAAATAACGCAAAAACAACCAATGTTCACTTTTTAGTGAGATATATGTGTCCTAATAGTGTTTATAGCAGTGTGGGACACATATACGACTGTCAACAGCTCAAAACATGTGCTCTGGTGTTTCGTGACCGGTGGAAGGAAACCGGCGAACCCAGGGGAAAACCCACGTGAGCATGGAGAGAACGTGTAAACTCCGCACAGAAACGTCGGCTGGCTTGGTAAGGACTAAAACCAGTGACGTTCTTGCTGTAAGGCAACAGGGCTAACCACTGGGCCACCGTGCCACCCAACTAGGAAAGGAGGAGGAGTAGAGGTGGAAGGGGGGATTCTTTAAAACGAAGATGGCTGTGATATGGAACTTAGGGTATTTATAGTGGCTTAGGAATCGTCTGATTGGTGAATCATGAATAGAATAATGCAGGACCGTCTGCAAGAAATCATAAGCACGTGATCCTCTCGAAATTAGTTTATAAATAAACTTCACATTGTAAAGCTTCCTGTAGAACATATTAATTTAAATGATAGACTTAGGCACTTCTTGAAGATGACTACAGAACAACCAACACGTTCTCAATAAAGGATTCTGCTTGGAAAAGTCTCCTAGCTTGAGTTCTGAGATTTACTCCATCTGCTGGCTCAGACTGGAATCCTCCTCACCTCCCATTTGGTCTCCTCCAGTCGGGGCCCGAGCTGTGTGTGTTCCCTCTCAAAGGATGAACAGCGCTCCTCCAGCCTCTGCCGCTCCTTCAGGATCTGCGTCATCTCCTCCTGATGCTTCTTCTTCTCCTGCTGCATCTGAAACACCTGCATCTGAAGCATCTGCTGCTCCCGCTGCGCTTTCTGAGATGCCTTCTGCATCTTAGCGGCGCACATCTGTCTGAACTCCTCAATCTCCAGCTCTGTGCGCTTCTGACGCTCCTCGTACACCTGCAATCAACACACACACAGAGAGAGTTCTTACAGATGCATACGATTCTTCAAAGTAGAAATAGTTGAACTCTTAGGCCCGGTTTACACTTTAGGTTTAGGTTTTTGCATTTTAGGTTTAAAATGTCGTTTTAGAATGAAAATGATCCGCGTCCACACTAGCGTTTCACCCAGCGTTTCTGAACAGCTCTCTGTCAACACCTAAACACTGAAAACGCACATCACGTGACCGCAAGCGCTGCAGCCTATCTAGCTTGATGAGAGCTGTGCTCATCGGAGTGTTCATCAAAGATCTCCCGCTGAATCTAATCTCACTATATTTGCTAAACGTGATATTTAATTAGGCTGGCTAGAGAAACAAACTTTAAGCTACTTAACTTAAACTGCTTTAAAACTTTAAACTACTTTAAACTTAAAACAGCTTTAAAACTTTAAGCTACTTTAAACTTAACACTGCTTTAAAACTTTAAACTACTTTAAACTTAAAACTGCTTTAAAACTTTAAGCTACTTTAAACTTAAAACAGCTTTAAAACTTTAAGCTACTTTAAACTTAAAACTGCTTTAAAACTTTAAACTACTTTAAACTTAAAACTGCTTTAAAACTTTAAGCTACTTTAAACTTAAAACTGCTTTAAAACTTTAAGCTACTTTAAACCTAAAACTGCTTTAAAACTTTAAACTACTTTAAACTTAAAACTGCTTTAAAACTTTAACCTACTTTAAACTTAAAACTGCTTTAAAACTTTAAGCTACTTTAAACTTAAAACTGCTTTAAAACTTTAAGCTACTTTAAACTTAAAACTGCTTTAAAACTTTAACCTACTTTAAACTTAAAACTGCTTTAAAACTTTAAGCTACTTTAAACTTAAAACTGCTTTAAAACTTTAAGCTACTTTAAACTTAAAACTGCTTTAAAACTTTAAACTACTTTAAACTTAAAACTGCTTTAAAACTTTAAGCTACTTTAAACTTAACACTGCTTTTAAACTTTACCCTACTTTAAACTTAAAACTGCTTTAAAACTTTAAGCTACTTTAAACTTAAAACTGCTTTAAAACTTTAAACTACTTTAAACTTAAAACAGCTTTAAAACTTTAAGCTACTTTAAACTTAAAACTGCTTTAAAACTTTAAGCTACTTTAAACTTAACACTGCTTTTAAACTTTACCCTACTTTAAACTTAAAACTGCTTTAAAACTTTAAGCTACTTTAAACTTAACACTGCTTTTAAACTTTAACCTACTTTAAACTTAAAACTGCTTTAAAACTTTAAGCTACTTTAAACTTAAAACTGCTTTAAAACTTTAACCTACTTTAAACTTAAAACTGCTTTAAAACTTTAAGCTACTTTAAACTTAACACTGCTTTTAAACTTTAACCTACTTTAAACTTAAAACTGCTTTAAAACTTTAAGCTACTTTAAACTTAAAACTGCTTTAAAACTTTAAGCTACTTTAAACTTAAAACTGCTTTAAAACTTTCAGTCTAAGCTTTCTTAAGCCTAAGGCTCTCTCAAGCCTAAAGTTTGTCTTGACAAACTTTAATAATCTAGTTCATCTTGTTGTCTATATCTAACAACATATTCCCCGACTTTGGTCTTTTGAATCTATCACTTGTTCTCAGGTAACGTGTTTTGGCTGAGCGCAAAGATAAGTTAATAATTAATCTAACCATGTAGCCTACATTTTGCATATCGACTGATTTCTTGCCTTTATTTCCTATAACGTATAAACTTATTGTATGTTATACTTTTATAATGGCCATTATTGATTATTAAAACTGATATTCAGCAATAGAGAGGGCATGTTTCGTGTTTAATGAAATTGAAAGGAGGCAGTGATGTTATAGGCTCCGTCTTGTTATGAATACGCACACAGTGGAAATGACGCTCATATATGCAGCACGACGCCTCAGCATTCCTGCTGTCTGTTAAGTTGTTAATATCAAAAGGAAAATAGCAGTTCCTTATATCATGTTTTCATATTATTACTGTACTAGGATATAGTGAAACAACGTATGCAGGATGATGTGAATACGGTTATAAAGTACACTGTTCCCTTTGAAAGATTTACTCGATGTGCACTCGAGAGTCTGTTTTCCATATCGAAAATGCAAAGTCTGAACTTACAAGGAGAGGATGCAGGACTGAACTGTGTGTAGGCTACTTAATATTGAGGAAACGCCCCAATCAGAGAGGCGAATGTCTGCAGCCCCGCCTCCGTTTTCCCTCATCCACACTGAGACGGAGCAGCAGCGTTTCAGAATGAAAACGGCCTCTTCAGCATTTCCAAAACGCTCCGTTTTCGGCGCTCGAAAACTCTGGCGTAGTGTGGACGGATGGCGTAACCGTAGCAAAACTTATGCATTTTCAAACTAAAAGGCATTAGTGTAAATGGGACCTTAGGCTCTGTGCACACACACTTTTTTCTACACGGTTTATTTACACTAAAACTGTCAGGTGAATGAAACCGAAACTTTCTGAAAACTCCAGCCAGGGTGAAGATTTTCCAAAACTGCTGGTACAGTGTGGTCTGTGGACGCTATCACTGGAGTTTTCACCTCATGGCATTAGCGTGTGCTGTTTTCTCCTGTCTGATTGGCCGACACGCTGGGTTCACACCAAATGCAAAAGATGCAAATGAGGCAAAATTCTGCACATTCGCGACAAGTGAAGTTTAATTGTAAACTAATTTCGAGAGGAGCATGTGCTCATGATTGACCCAGCTGGTCCAAATTACCTAATCATGATCCTCCAATCAAAGGATCCAAAGTCACTATATATATCCTCATTTCCTTTCTACACTATCTTTGTCTGGAAGAAACCCCCCTCCTCCCCTTCCTCCTTTATCCAGAGTGGGCGGCACGGTGGCCCAGTGACTAGCACTGTTGCCTCACAGCAAGAATACCTATGGCGTTGGGTCCTTGCTGGGCCATCTGATATTTCTGTGCAGAGTTAGCATGTTCTCCCCGTCTCCGCATGTGTTTCCCCCGGGTTCCCTGGTTTCCTCCCACCATCCAAATGTGCTCTGTATTATAGATAAAATGAGCCTAATTTTACTCTAATCTTACTCTCAGGAAGTTCGCCTTGGCCTCAGCAGCAGGGGAGTTTGAGATCTACCTGAGCTCAATCTCCCCTCGCCCTGCGAAAGGGGGTAGCCCTGGGCTCGAGGATCTCTTGAGCTCAGGGTTCTCTCCCTGGACAGCACGCCAAACAAGCTATATATAAATCATGAGCTAAGTGTGAAACGCATCGCATATTTCTTGTCCTCATGGTTGCATTAATTAGTATGTAATTCATTCGTGCAATTTATTAATTCCGTTTGGTGTGAACCCAGCATAAAATGGTCATTATCGCCACCTGTTGATTCTGCGTGTCCTTCAAATGCATCACAGTGCAACCCTGTTTATAAAAATACCTTGTACATGTGAGCATGGCCTTAAAGGGATTATATGATATTACTAAAAATAATGTTATTTGGTGTATTTGGTGTACTGTAGTGTGTTTTATGCACTTTAATAGGCCTTTCAAGCAATGAAAACATGACAGGATTATCCTTTGGTGATATAAGCTTTCAGGTATTATAAGTTGAACAATTTTTTTCTCATGCGTAATTGTGTTATTCATACATAATTCTGTATTGTAGCCTCAGAAATGTTTTTGGTAAATACGTTTAGATTAAGTCAGGGGTGCCAAAACTAGTGTCCTGGAGAGTTTAGCTCTAACCCTAATCATACACACCTAAACCAGATAATCAAGCTCTTATGCCACGGAGTTTGCACATGCGAAATTCTGTCGTACGGTGCTGCGAAAAGGGGCGGGATTAAACAAAACGATATGACATTTAATAAAGCAAGTGACTGCTCCATATTGTACATTTTACTACAGAGAGATTATGTTTTGATCCTTGACTGGTCTCTACGCCGTCGCATGATGCGATTTCGCAGGTCAGAGTTCACCAAGCTTGTATTTTGCAATGCAACATTCTGCAAAACTGTGATTATGGCCTGCTGGATGTCACACAAGCTTGCGTTTCCGGTCCGTCGCATTCATATGCGTAAGCAGTGTGTGACCGCTGACAGGTGTGTTTGATTGGGGTTGGAGCCAAACTCAGCGGAACACTGGCCCTCCAGGATCAAGTTTGGATATCCCTGGATTAAATACAACAGTTGTCATGACAACTTACTAATGTAAACAGAAGCCAGCAATTATTGCCCCGCCTCCAAGTTGCTCTGATTGGTCTACTGCTTTGAGACTGACATTGATGAGTGGGCTGCGAGTCTATTTTTTTATTATTTTAACTTCGTACTTGATGCATGAAAAAAGATGCAAGATGGTCACGCACATCAGCATTTGCATAGAAAAACAATGGAAAAATTGCAACGGAAGGGGCAAAAACTGCCACCAACATAACGAAAGCGTGGTCAATTTGTGGGTTAATTATACCGTATACTGAGATCAGCATCCCATAATGCAATTCACAACCGTAAATAAACACTTGTGAATCACAAAATATGGAAACTGTTCATTAACAGTTTACAGTAAGTAGCTGATGTGGTGATAAATAAACAAGCTTGAGCATGCACCTGACAGATAGCGGCTTCGTTCTCGTCCAGGTTTTCTCGTAGCCGCTGCAGCTCCAGCTCTCGCTCCCTCAGCTTCTCCTCCAGATCTCTCACTATGGCCTCATAGGCCTCGATGGGCGGCGGCGAGGGTCCCGCGGAGCCCCTGTCGGACAGCATGTGCCCGCGGCCACCCAGAGACCCAGTGCTCTTGCTGGAGGACGAGCGGCCGCTGTCAGAGCTGCAGTTTCCGGGCAGTTTGCTGCTCTCGACGTGCTGTTGTGTGTACGCCGGCAGGTTTGTCAGGGATCCACGCGGAGTCTCGGTCATGGTGAACGACTGGCTGAATAAAGCGTTTCGGGCTCCGCTGTAGGAGCTGCGCCGCTCTAATGTCGCATGAGAAACGTCTTCGGCGTCTGGGGAAAACCTGCTGAGGTTTCCTTGGCTTCCCGATAGGCCGGTGCCGAGCCGCGGAGACAGAAACTGCGCCGTGTTTCGGCTCTTGGGGATCACAGGCTTGAAGGCAGTCGGTCGGATTATGGCCTGCTGGATGTTCTGGGGAAAAAACAAACATCATGAATGATAACGTATCAGCATGGGAACATTTCGGAAACGTCAACAATCTGCATTGTAAGAAGCTCTATAGAAATATAGACCACAGATTTAAAACTAATGGACAGACGGCTGCTTCTCACTCAGGGCTGCTGTTTATGCTAACGAGGGAGAGATGGTCACTAGTGGGCGGGGCTTTCCCCCTTTGATGACACCTACAAAGGGAGAATGTCAATCAAAATGTTTCAAGTGTGGTGACAGGTTTGAAGGCAGTCTGACTTATGTTGGATTATGGCCTGCTGGATGTTCTGGGAAAAAATAAACATCAGGAATAATACTGTTTAAGCATGGGAACGTTAAGGTGATATTGACCTTACTTTAACATCCTTATTTCTACAAGATGCGTCTCTGATGCCTCTAGAGTGAATAGTGAAGTTTCAGCTCAACACAGCACACAAATAATGTTTTCCAACTCTCTGAAACTGACCCTTTCATGGCTTTAATCCTAATTGTGCTGTTTTGGTGACTGTCGCTTTAAATTCATATGAGATTGTGCTCTATTCAAAAGAGGGCGGAGCTACAAACATCAGTGTGTCAGCATAGTGAAAGACTCAAAACAGAACTAACGCCCCATGCTAATGAGGTAGAGAGAGTCACTAGTAGGCGGGGCTTTCCCCCTCTGATGACTCCTACAAAGGGAGATGTGTTTCTGCTGTTTTTATCAGGCAGACGGTCAGATTATGGCCTGCTGGATGTCCTGGGAAAATAAACATCAGACATTATGCCATATAAGGCATATAAGGGATGTTTTGGAAATGTCACCAATCTACATGGTAAAGCCCTTCAGTTTTAAAAAAGGTGATTTAGGAGATGTTTCTCAGTACTGGGTTGCTGCTGGAAGGGCATCCGCTGAGTAAAACATATGCTGGAATAGTTAATAATTAATAATAACCGTTCATAATCAGAGTGACCATCGGGTTATTTATCACCTCCCTGACTATTAGTAGGAATTAGTTATAATTATTGGTTCATTAAAAGAGAGAATTGTACTTAAAAAAAAAAAAAAAACAATTTTTTTTTTTATATTAGGTGTAAGTTTTCAAAATAAAATATTTAATAATAACATGTTTTTCAAAATTATTTAATTATTTTTTTATGTTAGCAGAATTGTTTATACTATATATATATATATATATATATATATATATATATATATATATATATATATATATATATATATCATCAAAGAAAAAAGTGATTAATAAATTAGACATTGCAAAAGGAATAAGTTATAACTAATGGTTTATTAAAAGTGAAAACTGTACCTTAAAATAAAGAGGCCAATTTTTTTTAATGTGTAAAAAAAAGTTTTTAAAATATAATATTTCATAATAACATGTTTTTAAAAAGGGATAAAACAGATTTTTTTAAAGTGACCCAAATATTTTTTTGATGTTAGCAGTTAAAGAAAAATTTATATACAAATATAAAAAGTAGGCATTACAAAAAGATTATTTTATTTATTATTTAAAGTTATGATTAATGGTTTAATAAAATCAAGAATTATACTGAGAAAGTTAAAATATATATATTCTTTACAATTCTTTTACAAAAATAATATAACATTTTCAATTAAAGAACAAAATGATAAAAAGTAGAAATCGCAAAAGAATTTTATTTTATTTTGAAGAATTTTGTATTATTTTAAAGAATTTTATTTTATTTTAAAGGATTTTATTTTAAAGAATTTTATTTTAAAGATTTTTTTTATTTTAAAGAATTTTATTTTAAAGAATTTTATTTTATTTTAAAGAATTTTATTTGATTTCAAAGTGTTTTATTTTAAAGAATTTTATTTTATTTTAAAGATTTTTTTTTATTTCAAAGAATTTTATTTTGTTTTATTTTAAAGGATTTTATTTTATCTTAAAGGATTTTATTTTATTTAAAAGTATTTTATTTTATTTTATAGGATTTTAATTTATTTCAAAGGTTTTTATATTAATTTAAAGGATTTTATTTTATTTCAAAGGATTTTATGTTATTTTAAAGGATTTTATGTTATTTTAAAGGTTTTTATTTTATTTTAAAGGATTTTATTTAATTTTAAAGGATTTTATTTAATTTTAAAGGATTTTATTTTATTTCAAAGGTTTTTATATTAATTTAAAGGATTTTATTTAATTTTAAAGGATTTTATATTATTTTAAAGGATTTTTAAATTTATTTATTTATGCTTTGCCCATCTGTACTCACTCTCTCCAGCTGTCCTGACACAGGGACCAGTTTGGGAGGTCCGTCCACAGCAGAGGTCATTCCCACATCCATATGATTATCATTCCAGTCTCTGATTAAGTCTTCATGTGAATATGAGCGCGTCCCGAAGCCCTTCGCTCTGCCCACTATTGCCCTCCTCCTGTTACCGGGAGTTCGACTGCCGGCCTGCGGGACATCCCACAGCAGCCGGCCGGAGTCCGGCGTACCCTTCCGGAAGTTGGTGCTAACCTCAATGTCTGCACGCTCGGGATAGGTGATGTGGTTCGGTATCATGCTGCTGACGGCACCCATCGCGCCCAGCTCTGCCGGATGGAGACGAGGGTCAATGGAGACGGGGAGAGACTGTACCAGAGCCATAATGGAGGACTCGGCGGCTCAGAAGACCTGCAGATGAAGCACACATCAACACTTTAACACTTCAATCTGCTTTTACTGGAGACTCACTCTGAACAGATCATCTGATTCAATCAGTTTTCACTGGAGACTCACTCTGAACAGATCATTTGATTCAGTCAGTTTTTACTGGAGACTCACTCTAAACGGATCATTTGATTCAGTCAGTTTTTACTGGGGACTCACTCTAAATGGATCACTTGATTCAATCAGTTTTCACTGGAGACTCACTCTAAATGGATCACTTGATTCAATCAGTTTTTACTGGAGACTCACTCTAAACGGATCATTTGATTCAATCAGTTTTCACTGGAGACTCACTCTAAACGGATCATTTGATTCAATCAGTTTTTACTGGAGACTCACTCTGAACAGATCATCTGATTCAATCAGTTTTCACTGGAGACTCACTCTGAACAGATCATTTGATTCAGTCAGTTTTTACTGGAGACTCACTCTAAACGGATCATTTGATTCAGTCAGTTTTTACTGGGGACTCACTCTAAATGGATCACTTGATTCAATCAGTTTTCACTGGAGACTCACTCTAAATGGATCACTTGATTCAATCAGTTTTCACTGGAGACTCACTCTAAATGGATCACTTGATTCAATCAGTTTTTACTGGAGATTCACTCTAAACGGATCATTTGATTCAATCAGTTTTCACTGGAGACTCACTCTAAACGGATCATTTGATTCAATCAGTTTTTACTGGAGACTCACTCTGAACAGATCATTTGATTCAATCAGTTTTTACTGGAGACTCACTCTAAACGGATCATTTGATTCAATCAGTTTTTACTGAAGACTCACTCTGAACAGATCATTTGATTCAATCAGTTTTTACTGGAGACTCACTCTGAACAGATCATTTGATTCAGTCAGTTTTCACTGGAGACTCACTCTAAACGGATCATTTGATTCAATCAGTTTTTACTGGAGACTCACTCTAAACGGATCATTTGATTCAATCAGTTTTTACTGGAGACTCACTCTGAACGGATCATTTGATTCAGTCAGTTTTTACTGGGGACTCACTCTAAATGGATCATTTGATTCAATCAGTTTTCACTGGAGACTCACTCTAAATGGATCATTTGATTCAATCAGTTTTCACTGGAGACTCACTCTGAACGGATCATTTGATTCAATCAGTTTTCACTGGAGACTCACTCTAAACGGATCATTTGATTCAATCAGTTTTTACTGAAGACTCACTCTGAACGGATCATTTGATTCAATCAGTTTTTACTGGAGACTCACTCTAAACGGATCATTTGATTCAATCAGTTTTTACTGAAGACTCACTCTGAACAGATCATTTGATTCAATCAGTTTTTACTGGAGACTCACTCTGAACGGATCATTTGATTCAATCAGTTTTCACTGGAGACTCACTCTGAACAGATCATTTGATTCAGTCAGTTTTTACTGGAGACTCACTCTAAACGGATCATTTGATTCAGTCAGTTTTTACTGGGGACTCACTCTAAACGGATCATTTGATTCAATCAGTTTTCACTGGAGACTCACTCTAAATGGATCATTTGATTCAATCAGTTTTCACTGGAGACTCACTCTGAACGGATCATTTGATTCAATCAGTTTTTACTGGGGACTCACTCCAAACAGACCAATTGATTCTGTGAGTTGTTTACTGCAGACTCACTCTAAATGGATCATTTGATTTAATGAGTTGTTGAATGTAGTGGATTAAAAGTACAAGTTTCCTAAAATAAAAGTACTGAGTATATTATTTAAGTATCTGTACATTACTGAACAACAGCAATGAAGTAAAAATACTTTGTTACGGTCCACAGCTATCAAATAGACAAGTTACTAACTCAGCATACGAAGCTAATCTAGATTAGAGAAATGATCTGGCTCGACCGTTACAAACAATCAAGCACTAAAGCTGATTAAAACCGTCATCACTGTTTGTGGCATCTGTGCGGTTTGGTAAAGTCTGCCAGTTAAAGTTGAGAATAAACTCTCAAGTAACCCATTTGAAGGATTAGTTCACTTCCAGAACCAAAAACATAACGGGTAATACAAAAAAAACACACAATACAATCATAAATATACAGATAACAACTCCCAAACAGAAGCCCTCTATAGAGTATGCAGCATCATCAGTCGGCCATATTGGAGAGCAGAATGTAAACAAAGCCACTGAACTGGATAAAGCTCACATATTGAGCTCATTGTTGCTGTAAATGATCAGTTATCATCGTGTTTTAGGCTGCACTAATCACTCAGACTGGAATAAAAATATTTAGAGTATTATAGACTGACAAAACACAGAACAAATCAAGCAGAAGAGAGAGGAAACTGAAGCAGGATTTCCAGAATCTTCACAATCAAATCACTTTCATTGTCACATCAGCAGCAGCGCGTGTGCTATGAGTGAAAAGCTTAGAGGGAGCTCGCAACACGGCGGCCATGCTCAGCACCATCTTAATGATGTATCCTTCATGTTGGTTAATATTTTCGGACAGATAGGTGAAATATTAGGCTGATATCTTCATTAATACTGCACATACATGTGTTTTACCACCCATTATATTCAGCTTGTCCAATGCTACACTCTTCCCAGCTTACAAAGTCCTTGTCTATGTAATTTAGCTGTTACCTCTAAGGTTTACACAGCTTAAATAAGCAGAACGGTGTATTCGGTCGTGCATTAACTGTGCAGTCTATGCTGATGTTTACATTTCTTCTCGACTGATGAATGACGAGGGAGTGAGGAAACTATCAGGAATCTTTTGCTCTGTGAATGAATCCTTTATTTGCAGCTTCTGATCAGGTTAAACAGGTTTCAGACACTTTACATGTTATTTAATCACAGGGGCAGAACTCAGTCATTAGCTAACCAATGCTGGGCTGATTATGAGTCCTCTTGGTGGAGCAGAAACTGCAAACATTACTGTGAAACACCTCTGTGAATCACATCAGGCATTAATCTTACTTATGAAGACAAAATTATTGGCCCGTATAATGTTATTTATTTTCCTTCGGCTTATTCCCTTTATATATCAAGACTCGCCACAGTGGAATGAACCGCCAACTATTCCAACATATGTTTTACACAGCGGATGCCCTTCCAGCTGCAACCCAGTACTGGGATATATATATATATATATATATATATATATATACATTTATATATATATACATATTTATTTAATTATACAGCAGTTCTGTCTGGATCTCGAATCTGATTGGCTGATAGCCGTGATATATTTAAGTAATATCAGCATTCGTACAGCCTCTTTACCCTCTGTGTATTACTCCGCCTACATACAGCCAGCAACAAGCAGAGACACAACAGTTTGACAAATATTACTGCTGTTACACAACAAAATATACTTTTGAGGCTTTTTTTAGTGGAGAATGTAGATTTTTAGATTGCAAATATGCAGTTTATTTGCATGAATAGTGCCTGTTTTAAAATATTTACAATTTCTGAGAGACAGCTCATCGGCGACGGTTGACATTTTCTATCCACAAGATGGCGCCAGAACCGCATAATAAGCCCTTACGCTTTGAAGATATAACAGTCTGATTTCTAACTACAGCAGATCAAATCAATATTAAACTGGTAAGCACCTGCTAACACTTCCGTTTTTCATGGGAGTATCCCGTATTTCAGACCAGTCTCCTGCAAACATCCCATTTTTATTTCTTCCTAAAAACTCCCGGAATTTCACCCACCCCCCTCTTTGGTACAGTCTGTACACTAAACACCCCCGGGTTGCCAACTTTGGTTCAGTACCCAATTGAAGCGGCCACCCAAAACCCGCTGCATCCTGTTCTCAACCTCACCCCCGAACACCCCCTCCCCCCCGGTCTCCCGGGTTTTCAGAGACATGTTGGCAGGTTAGATGATCTCTCTCTCTTGTATGTTGTAGTGCTGTATTTATAGCGATTTGCTTGCATATCAGGAATGTGTTGTGTTGGCAGATTGAAATAAGCAAAGTCCGCATGTGTTTAGCGGTTTTCCTTATCGCAAACACAACAGCAGTCTGGTAACGTTAGTGAATTCGTTGTGATTTTCGGGGTAACTATTGTGAAATCCCGATTGCAAAAGAGAAATACTGTAGACTGTAACACTGTCAGAAGATATCTCTGTAGATGGATGGCGTTTCATGTCACGTTCAGCCTTATAATCTTAAAATGTGAGCAAAATGTGAGCACGAGGCTGTCCCACCAGTGCTGATATACAGCCATATCGCACTGCTACTCGTGTGATATTGCTCATATATATATATATATATATATATATATATATATATATATATATATATATATGTGTATATATGTGTATATATATATATATGTGTATATATATGTGTATGTGTATATTTCTAATTATTAGTATATACATATTAGTGCTGTCAAATAATTAACTCGCTATTAAGTCGCATCCAAGATAAAAGTATGTATTTACGTAATATATACATGTGAACTGTGTATATTTATGTATGTCTATGTATAAATACACTCACATACTATACATAATACACAAAAATATACAAAATAAATATATTTACATACATATTTATATTTGTATATAATTAAGATTTAATTTAAATATATTGTAATTATGAATATTTAAGTTAAACGAAATTAATAATCGCAATTAATCATTTGACAGCACTAATAGCCCAAAATTATTCATACCTCAGGAGAGAGTGTGTGTGAGTGTGTGTGTGTGTGTGTGTGTGTGTGTGTGTGTGTGTGTGTGTGTGTGTGTGTGTGTGTGTGAGAGAGAGAGAGGGAGTGTGTAAGTGAGAACAGACATTTATGGAATATTTTGACATATATAACAAATACTTTATAAACATAAAATCAAAATATGAAATTGAGTGTAATTTGCATATATTTCCATATAGGAAGAGTTCAGATGCAAAAGCTGCTAAACGCCACTTGCCTTTGACAGCAAAAGCCGCTATATCCCGAGAACCAATCAGAAGCGTGAATCAAGT